CTTATCATTTGCTCTCCCTCTTGGCCCATTTAAAATTTGTTCTAGTGTTTAACAATTTTTACTTAGATTGAGGTTTTTCTATTTTGTTATTGGTGTTTCTTATGTGTTTCTATATATGAAATCCAGAACAGGCAAGTCGGTAGAAGCAGTAACTGGTTTAACGGTTCTTGAGGGTGTGGCTGGGAGTTTGGTGTGTGAGGAAACAGGGAGCCAACAAAGAATGCAAGAATGAAGGAACTTCTACAACTGCAGTAAACACTGTACCACTCTTCTTGATACGACTGAACCATTGAATTCTAAGCTTATGTGTCCATAAAACTGTGTAAGGAAAAAGAAATGTGATTTATAGACCAACAGACAAGAGTCTGAGGAGGAGGAGACACAGTACAGTTGGGAGCGGGGCCCAGGGAGGGATGAGATGTTGGCTATCGGGTGGTGAGAGAGAAGTGTGTATGTCAAGGTGTAATTGCTATTGTTGATTTCCTTTCTTGAGAAGGGCTGTGCAGGTAACGTTTCTTGAAAAACCACAACCCCCCAAACAAAACAAAACTACAACCTTCGGATTCCTTATCCCGCAAACCTAAATATTGGTCTGAGTGGCTTAAAAAAAGGAAGACAAGTGGAACCGAAATGAACAAACATCTCAAAGAAAAGGGAATGAAGGCTCTTCCTTGGAAGCGGTGCAGAAAGGAGCCAACTGGGACAATATCCTTTCAGAACAATTTCTGAGTGCTCTAAAAACCAAGGATTCTTAAAAAGAAAGGAGAACTATCGACATTCCTCTGGGGACACACAGGCGGCCCAAAGCACATAAGCGATGGTCACTGACCCACTGTCACTGGTCATCCACACCCAGCAGCAGATGGTCAGTCACTGGTCATCCACACCCAGCAGCAGATGGTCAGTCACTGGTCATCCATGCCCAGCAGCAGCCTTTGCTTCTGAGTCCCTTTGGACTCATGGCTACAGGCAGAGACTGCCAGCCTCCTCTACTGTGCAGCAGCTGGTGGGTTTCAACTGGTTTTGCAGCCCAAGGCCTAACCCACTGTGGGTTCTTTTCATTGTCGGGAGATGCAAATTAAATCCACAATGAGCCCAGGGGAACCATCAGTCCAAGAACTATGGGACCACCACCCTGAGACCAGAACTAGGCGGTACCTTGCAACCATGACCAATGGCTGTCTATGAAAGGGATCACATTAGGCGGTGGTGGGTGGAGTGTGTGTGTATGTGTGTGAGGGGGGGACACACACAAAGCAAAAACTCATAAAAATGGCTGGGTTTACGAGTCGGAGCATGACCCGTGAAACCTCGTCGACGGTGGTCTTCAGCACTCTTCAGGGGCGAACTGAACTCTGTCCCCTGGCTCCATTTCAGTCAGACTATAGACAGGTCTACCAGAGAATAAGCCCATGGAGAGGCACACACCACTCAAAGTCACGTGAGCCGAAGGCCGCACTCCCCCAGGTGAGGAGGCAGGGAGTGGAAGAGGGGAGTGCACATAAAGCAGAGGGAGGAAGTGGGCTACGTGATGTTGCATGGTTCCACCCAATAACCAAAAACAGAAAAAGGAGGAATTACTGGATGGAAACTTACTTGCTTTGTAAACCTTCACCTAATCCACCACAGACAGTTTAAAAGCCACAAAGAGAAACCACTTTATATCCAATAACCTCCCAAACCAAGCCCAATGACAGAAGTCAATTCTGACTCTTAGCAACTCCATATAGGGTTCCTAAGACTGTGCTGTCTCGTGGGCCGACTGCCTCACTCACCCCGCTCCCTCCGAGCTGCAGCCCAACACTCCCAAATGCGCCCCCAGAGGCTAGCCAGTGTTCCAGAGCCAGGGAAGGTCTCCCCTGGGGACTAGGCAGCAATAGGAAGGACAGGGCAGGTACAGACCACGAGGCAAACTATGGCTGGGACAGGGGCACACTTCCAGGTCAATCGGACCCCCAATACCCTGTATGCACCGAAGGGACCCAGATTCTGCAGCCTCCAGCCTGCCCTGGGGGAGAGGCTATAGAGGGTTGGCAGGGAGGACCCTGGCAATGCCAAGGGCAGCACTGTGTCTCCCATTCCTCCGATGGACACTGAACCTGGCCATTCAGAGACTGTTAGTAAAGTGTTGGATGTGCTCAACCCTGTGCTGTGGGATTTCTTCAGCAAGCCCAACCCATCCACGGCTGGGCCTGTGTGTAGCAGTGTCCTTGGACAATGTCCAGGCCAGTGTGCACTCAGTGGGGGGAGGGAGCCCAGCTGGGACACACGGAGGTGGGGACATGGTTGTGCTCTCCTAGAGCACAAACCTGTGGTCACTCTCCTGTGCAACAACGCTGCGGGCACCCTCCAGCACGTTCCAGGGGTTGCCACTCTCCCCAGGGCACCAGGTATACAGAGGGCCAGGCCCACAGAACCTCAGAAACACACGCCTGTTTATTTCTCGGAGAGACGGGGCCTGGGTCGGGCGGGCGGCGTCACTTCCAGAAGAGCACGTGCCAGAGGAGCAGCCAGCAGGGGTAAAGGCCCAGGGCCAGCAGCGGGAAGAGCAGGGAGCCGTAGGTGTAGTGCTCCAGCATGCCCTGGGACAGCGCCGACAGGAAGAGCTGCCACCCTTCGGCCAGAGACAGCGGCGCCTCCTGCAGCTCCCGCCACAGGAACAGGCTGCCCAGCAGTGTGGCCGCTGGGCTTGTCAGCACCAGGAGGACAGCGTAGAGTGGCCTGGGGCGAGGGGGCACATGTGTCAGGGGACAGGGCAGGGTGCAGGGTTAGTGACACGCTAGGGAGGTCAGCAGACCACAGGTACATACCGGGGCCCGCGGGGCTCAGTGAGGGCAGCAGCAGGCACCATGGTGGCGGCCAGCAGGAAGCCCAGGGAGAAGTTGGTGAGGACGATGCAGCCCAGCTGCAGGGCCAGGTAGAGGAGGGCCACCAGCTTCAGTGCCATCCAGCCCTTGTCCAGGGCCTGTGAGCTCAGCACCCTGCAAGGCAAGTGGCTCAGTGGCTGTCCTCCAGGGCTACCTGTCAGCCTGGGGTGGCCTGCCCTGTGCCTCACCTGTGCGTGTTGTGCGGGAGGGCTAGGCCCGCCACATAGATGGCCAGCAGCGTCAGCACTACGGCCTCGGCCTCAGCCACGGGGAAGTGCTGGGCGGCCACGTGCTGGCCCAGCACGGGCAGCGTGTACAGGGCCACGCCCACAGCCTGCGAGATCAGCATGGGCGCCACAAGCGAGGCCAGCCCCATACCCTAGGAGGCAGAGAAACGCTTGGACACTGGGCAGTGCTCCCGAGAATCCCCCAATGCCTGCTTAGGGTTTCTCACCCAGGCTCCCAGAATCCATCTTATCCCGGGGGTGGGGTGGGGGTGGGGGCTATGCTGTCACCTGTGCTGGGGGGAGGGGAAGCGCACGTCCAGAGGGCCCTCCAGGCTCCTCGGGGCCCTCTCCAGCCTCATGGAGCTGCATCCACAGTTCCAGGGCGTGGCCGAGTCAAGGACCCGACGGAGGTGTGACAGGCCCTGCAGGTTGGGGCCCAGGTCGCCACCCCCACCCCCTCCCTGGAGCAAGCCCCAGGGCCAGTGGAGGAGGATATCTTGAGGCCCAGGACCAGGAGCAGGAAGGCGGCAGCCGGCATGTAGAGGCCGATGGAGACGAAGCGCAGGAGGGCAGGCAGCAGGTAGAGAAAGAAAGACTGATGCAGGCGCTCCAGCAGGTGGTTGAGCTTGCGGAACACGCCCTCCAAGGCCCTGCCGAGGACAGTGTCGTGGCCAGCCCAGGGGACATGGCTCTGATCACAGGGCCAGGCGAGGGTGCCAAGACCCAGCCAGGAAGGCGCGGCCAGAGTCACTTACTTGCCCACTGCCACCAGGTCATACTTGTACTGGCGAAAGCTGTTGATGCCACGCAGGGTTAGGGCCTCCACACGGTAGCGCAGAAAGAGGCCGTGGGGGCCGTGGGGCCGGCCAGAGGCCTGCCTCAGCACCATTAGCAGCAGTGTCTGCAGGCCCTGCAGTGGCCCATCTGGCGAGGTCCAGTCCTGGGGCTGCAACTTGGGGGCGTGGGGACAGGGTCAGAGAATGCCCTCCCAGGCTCCTCCCCGTCTGCTGGCAGACCCACCTTGCCCTGCAGCGTGCACAGCAGCCCCCCTTTCTGGCAGAAAGTCTGAAAGAGGTTGAGCAGGTCCAGGTTGGGCAGCTGCCCGTTGAGCCCCTCCACTGCCACATCCAGGCTGGTGACCACATCACTGCTCAGGTCCAAGGCCACGGCCGCCTGTATGGCCCCAGCACGGCCCTGCAGCGGCGAGGACTGTATGCCTGTCAGGGCAGGAACGGTTTGTCGGGGAGGGGCTGGGGGGCTGGTCAGGAAGGGGCCAGGTAGGTGGAGGGCACCAACCAGTGACATTGACATCATGGTAGGCCTCAAGCCAAGCCTCGGTGCCAAGGAGGTCATGCTCTGTCACCAGGAAGATGATGTCCTTGGCCCAATATATCTGCCCTGAAGGATGGACCCAAGTCAGCCAGGCATGGGGCGGTGGCCAGACCCTCCCTGGCCTGCAGCCCAAGTCTCACCACGGAAATGGGCAGCAAGTGCCAGCAGCAGCCCCACAGCCTGGCTGTTAGTCGAGTCGGGGCCACAGGACACGGTGAGCACCAGGGACTCGGTGCTGGCAGCGCGCGGGGCTCGCAGGATGCCGTACACGTTGGTGCCTGACACGATCTGTAAGCAGCAGGGCGGGGCTCAGCAGGCCCCACCACACAGAGTGGGATCCCCCAACCCAGTCCACGAACTTCCCTGGCCCCAGTGACTGTGTCTACTGAGCCCTGCTCCCTTGTGGTCCCCTCCCGTCCCACCAATGTGCTTTCCACGGTGGACACGGGCCCCCAAATACATAGCGCTCGTGGGTCTCATCTGGAAAGGGCAGCTTCCGGGAGAAGGTCTGCGTGTACACCTCCAGCCCCACGGACCGCATGGTCCGCTCCAGCCAGGCCACAGGCAGCGCCCTGGGGACACAAGGAGAGCCCCTGAGCAGGTGGCCCTGGCTGCGGCCACCACGCTCCCCGGCACGCACGGACGTGCCGCTCACCCCAACTTCCTGCGGTGCGCGGCGAAGTCGCGGGCTAAGCTTCGGGCCCGCTCCCCGCCTGCAAACTGCTCGTCCACCATAGTGGAGCCCATGGCATTCTCCGACATGTAGGTGCGCTGCGTCAGCGGCGGGAAGGCCAGCGCCAGGAACCAGGCGATGCCGGCCGCGTAGCTCAGCACGCTGCGGGGCAAGGGCGCGTCAGAGAAGCCGCGCGGACCACCGCGTCCGGCCCCCCGCCCGCCCACCGCG